CGGGCTTCGCCCTCGGGAATTCCGCAAACCTGCCTCGGGTTACGGGGCCATTTAATCACTAATCTCCCTCAAGCCATGCTATTACTTATAATTATCGTCCGTGCCTATATACTGTTCGAGATCTTTTCAATTTGAAAATATACTATACTCATGCAGTCTCATCGTCATTGCCTTTAATATAATAGATCATTGATATTAGAACTGGATCGTACCATCGTGGGCTTGCTTTCGTTCTTTAGTTTCTTTGGAATTTTATTCGGTATTACGTGATTTTTAAAGTTTATTTATGTTTTCCCACAGTTTATATGTCTCCTTGTTCCCTATATGGTCTTTTTGTTCCCTTGTCCCTTGTTCCCCCAGCTTATATGTCCCCTTGTTCCTTATATGATCATTTTGTTCCCTTGTTCCCCCAGCTTATATGTCTCCTTGTCCCTTATATGATCGTTTTGTTCCCACAGCTTATATGTCCCCTTGTTCCCTATTGATGGTGTTTTCGTAACTTCGTTCCCTATTTAGGCCTATTACAAAACCTGCTTTTTTTCCGTCATCCCTAGAAACCCCTGGGACACCCTCTTAATTAAACATCTACATTGTTTTCGAAACTTCTATCCACAAAAAAAGATTAGGATTAATTCATTAACATGTTTTGTGTCTAGGAAATAACACCGAGTGATAGCTGGCATATTGCAAGATTAATTTAAAATCAGGAAATCGTCTCTTAAATTGCTTACAGGGATATGTTTTGTACACCGTCCAATGCACACGGCCATCCAGCTGCGTGAATTGAAAAGCTCACGCAAGATTCTAATAACTACAAGTTAAGAAAAAAAACGAACATCAATTTCATATCAAATTTCACAAACACTGGGTCTTTTATTCGGAAGGGCTATACGCGTAATTGGATTTCTTAAAAGGAGAACATATACAAGATTTTAATTAACACTAATCGTGTATCTCTGCGGGTGTGAATATATTACATGCTGCTATTTAATTTATATTTATGATTTCATATTTTGTGTTTACATATTTAGAGGTTTTTGCCTGTGCGCGATGCATTTTAAAGGACGTGCGAATTGAAACATATAGTATAATGTCATTTGCACTGATGACAATCCGGGAATACGATTCCAAAGTTTTGCTAAATAAATCTGCGTGGTACAAAACAAAACAGTTATTGATTCTATAAATGTATCATGGACTCCTGTAGATTATTCCAGCTATAGACTAAATTTTGATCTCAGCAAGAAGAACAAAACCCATCATCACAGCTATAGAAAGAGCATGTTAAAATTAGTAAAATTTCAAAGTTTGTCCGCGAAATGTTATAAAATGCGGAAAATATAGCCCTACGAAATTTGCGAATTTTGGGCCTAAAGTTACAACATTTCGCGGCCAAAGTTTGCAATTTTACTGATTTTAACATGCTCTTTCTATAGCTGTGGTGATGGATTTTGTTCTTCTTGCCGAGATCAAAATTTAGCCTATAGCAGTATAGCTGGAACTGATCTTTTTAGAAAATATTTTTATTCTTAATTTGATGTTTCGAAATTTTCATCTCAAAAAAACCCTTCAATATTTCCATATATAGTGTCCACTTCTTGCCAATAGGGTCTTAAATTGTGAGGTTAGCTAGCTTGTTTGTATTTTGCATATACAGAATTCCAATTGGATGCTGCATATGAATTATAGAGTCAATTATAGTATCGATATAGTTTATATATAGTACGCGTAGACGAATTGTGGTTTTTTTATAGCAGTATAATTTGATCAATACTCAATATATATAGTGATGACTGTTTTAGCCTTTAACGATCTCGATATATACAGTGAGATCTGTTGTCATCTAACTCATCTTGAATTGTGAAATTATTGCCGTCTGAGGCAATCGGCATGTTGAGAGAGGCAAGAGGCGAAGAATTCAATAATCGATTCAGCGAATTGATGGCATGCGAATGCTTTTCTGCTGTTTTCATGTCGTGACATATGGTTCACTTTTGTTAGACACTGGCAAACGAAGCCTTATACACGCATGTCCACAAATTAATCTGTCATCTGAAATTCGTCCCATGCATGTATCGCCTATCGGTACTCCCTTTTTTGGTCAGTAGTGAAAGAGATATTGTCTTTTATCCTTTACATAGTTAAACTACCAGTTTCAAACTGCGCATGTGTTGTTTTATGATGAATGGCAATAATTTTTGGCAATGGCAGGTCACTTTTTATTTGTGTATCCACATAATAATTAATCTGTGTAGGGAATTTTTGTCGAGTATCGTGATTCGTGGGCGGAAAGTCGCGAGCCGTGGGCGAAATATCGTGCATGTGTCCCGACGTTTGTAAAATCGCCGACGGAAGAATTTTGGAGCAAACTATATGATAGTCCATGACAAATGTGAAAGGATAAATCTGCGAAGGCTGAAATGGCCTCTAAATCATGGCATATACGACATTGGTTATGAAGATGAACGATGTTCAAGCGGCACTGAGAGTGCGAACGGGACTCTAAAGCTGGTTTTCCGCTTCAACCGTATCGTAGCGAAGCGTATTTCTTTGTTTCCTGACCACTAGAGTTGAACTAATGACTTCGACACAAAAGAAAGTGCTACGGCAACCTCGTTTCCAGGCTCTTTCCTCTACGGTTCGTTACGATACGGTTGAGTGGAAAGCCAGCTTAAGACCCATGCGAGGCACTCTCTCCCGTTACAATTATTAGGTATAGAAAGATAGTAATACACAAGTACATACTACGATACACCATTTTATGTAAACATTATACCAACTGTTTTGCTCAAGAAGGCAAATGTTCCACGGGCTCTCGGGATTCCACTGTTTTCCAGGTCTTGATATACCAATTTCAATTTCCGAAGCCTTGCCAAAGAATAAATACTGTCCTAAATTTCTGCGCAAGCATTGCACTGAGATTCAGTGTAATTTTACCACGACACGATTTTCAATCCGCGTTACCCGACACACGACAAAGACGTTCAGAAAACAAAGTTGTCATTAACGAGTTATACACAATTGTTAAAGGTGTTACCTGTCAGCCTTTGTCACGGAGGCGGTGTTGATTGGTAACGCAGCTTTGATGGGTGAATGAGTTCGTTACCTCAGCTGATTTATCCCTCTTTTGTCTTTCAGCGGTTAAGAATATATTGAAGTTGAAGGAGAAGACGTCCGGTCTGTTAACTTCCACATTGAACCGTTCGCCTGGAGCTGGTAAACATCTTCTGGTCCCTGGTATCGTTCCTGACAACGAGAAGGAGCAATCTATAGTAATACGCGAATTTGTCCATATGCTAAGCTTATCGACATAAACTGTTTGAAGTTCGAAAGCATAAGTATATCACTTGATATTCACATTTTGCCTGTTGGTGTTGTGGTCCCCTGCTATCTAAGATTACGGTTTAGGACGGAAGCCGCGTAGTAAATCGCAATCCTCATATTTCAACGAATTTAAGAGCACAACAACTCGGGCTAGGCTGTTTGAAGCTTGAAAACTACGCTTGGTTTTGGAAAGCGTTGACCGCAATCTGCTCAAGTAATATATTTCGGTATAGCAAGGAAACCGTCCCGTGAATCTCACATCTCAACCAAGTCGTATGCTACGCTAAGCTGATCAACAATCAAGATCGGTCGTTTCTAAAAAAACCTGGACTAACTATATTGACAAGGGACACTGTATTGCTACTGGAATAATGTCGAATAATACAACAACAGAAGCTAACATTAGCGAGCCACAAGGGCTTCGCGTTATCCGAATCATACTGTCCGTGGCGATTATGCTTTTGGGTAAGTACGTATAAGTATGCTTGTATATTTTACGTGTGCACATATGCTATATATTTCACGTGGTCAGGGCTCCAGTATTGGTAGTGTTTTACGATAAGCTATGATGGTTTGTGTCTGAATGTTCTACAATGAGCGGCTTGTGTTTGAATTGAAATAAATTGCATTGATTTGTAATGATATTCAAATGAAGCATACACAAACAACGGCAGCTTCGTACTGTATAGTGCATTGAATGTTCTTTTTGTGCACAATAAATTGCGCTTGTCTAAGTTTAGCTCTGAACGGTAAAACAGTAAATTCTGTTGGAGGTTTGTCGAATTATTTTAATGTTTGTAGGGTCAGAGGTTTAGGAATGCGTTGCAATAATCTCTGATTAAACCACGCGGTTTTTCGATTTTTAATCTGTCTGCCAACAAACAGGATGCGCATTTTAACAAAAAGATTGGGGTTATTCTACACTGCCTTTCTTTATCTACAAATTGTAATTAATTACGCTATTAGCTACAATGGGAGGTTCGACATTGGCGCACGATGTTACGTTTAGCAGTAAATATGTAGCGCACATGTGTAATTCTCATTACGCACTATTATCATATTATATTCATGTGCGCGCTCTGCGCTTTACTGCGACCTTTATCAGCGCCGTCATCTATGATATGTTACTAAATGAATCGTCGTGTTTATCACTATCAACATGTATTGCCGTCGCCCTCAAGTGTAGCTAATGAAAACTTGTTTATATTAACACGCGTTATTTGCGTTTCGTGTCTAAGTGTTATTACTTTCCTCTGGCGATTGCGTTGTTTGACGTCAGAATATGGCAAGTTGAACAAGCATTTGAAAGCCACAACAGATGTGAGGCGTAATGATTTCAGCGCGCATTTACGATTTATTGCAGTTTCAAAATCTACTCTAAAAAATCTTCTCCTAATCTCCTATAGTCCATACTAGAATCGCATATTGCGCTTACCTAATTAGGAAATTGTAATTTTCATGCACAGAATTATTGCTCGTTGTTTCAACTTTCAAACATACCTGCATTCATTGTATATGTTGCAATTGCTTGGTGACATGGGAATTCTTATCTGTAGAATGATTGAATAGAAATTTCTCAGTACATGCAAACTATATCCAAAATTACCGGACGGTCAATAAGTTACAGTAAGACACGCGCCAGATAACGCTTGTAAATAATATAATTAAAGTCCGTTCTGTAAAGTAGGGCAAGTGGACTGACTCGAGAATTTTTTGCCGCAATTTTGTTGCTAGAAGTTCACTTCAGAGAGGTCGAGTCTATCCCTGCTGTTACTGCTGTCCGCTTTAGTAATAGCAGTACAAATGGTCTGTAAATAGATCAGGCCTAGAATGTGTAGATACTTGCATGTGTAGATTTCAGAGAACAATTGTGCCGCATATTGCAATAAATTCAATCTCGGCACAAAATAATCTCGATTTGCAAAACGCTTTTGTAAACAATAATTAAACTATACGGCATTCCTGTATATAGGATGACAAAAATATGCATATAGGATGACAAAAAGATATTTTGTGAAAAATTTCCTGCACTGGCAGCACTGCCACTGATATTAGGTTTTCGCATGAATTTAAAACAAGTTAGACGCTCAAGTTAATATCAGGAATCTTATGAGCCCATTGCGTCAACCATGGTATGATAAATTATTTTGCGTGGTGTATAGTTTTTGGGGCCAAATCATATACAATTGGAGAAGGAAGGTTGGCAATTGCGTGGTGTATGGTCTTTGGGGCCAAATCATATACAATTGGAGAAGGAATTAGGTGGGCAAATCGCCCACATATAGGCGCATATTTCTTCTAAACTGAAATTTAATTAAAATGCGCAGTATAAATGGTAATCCTTTTTTATTTTCTAAGTGCGTAACGGTAAGGTATTTCCCTGTCATCATACTTCTTGTGCGCGAATATTGCTTTTCCTCTGTGAACAACACTTCCGCATACCTATACATACAGCCTTCACAAAAATATTACAAGCGAAAATTGTACGAATATCGCTATTGTGCTACTGTGATCTCAAAATTGAAATCATAGCATGTTGGGTTTGTTTAGAAGATTACAAAAGAATTTTAAATCGAAAGCCGTTTATCCTAAGCCAATGTGAATTATGTAAAGAAATTGTTTGGATAACCTTCCTGCCGTTATGCCAAAGTGCAGTTTATCGCCTAACAATGTTATTCTTAAGCATTGCGCGGAAATCATGCAGTCAAATTTAATTATCCTGGAAGGCGAGTCATTCATGAAGGCTGCTACTATTTGGTATTGTATTCACTCTTTGTAGATTTATAAAACTAATTGCTGTGCCCTGTTTGTTTTTTTCGAGGGAGATCGTGTTTGACTATATAAACCAAAATTGGATTAAACAAGTCATTGCTTGACAATGCAAGCGAGCCAGCTAGGTTATTGCACCAAAGAAAGCAATTGTCAGTCTTTCATATCACCATTAAAACAGTGCGATTAAGTGATTACAAATAGCTAACATACGGTTGGACTTTTTTGTGTGGTAGATAAGATACCAGAAACCATTTATCACATCAATGTATATATAGAAGAGATTTCTGTGCGTCAAAGCATGTCAATGCCTTTGTCGCAGAGAATACAATGACGAAATACAAGCATGTCTCTATATATATACTGTATTGACTTTTGTCGCGCGATTTTATCCCAGAATAAATAGACTGGGTTGACACAGATAATAATAAAATGTAGCGACTTTTAAGTGCCCGCTGAGAGCCAAGCGTTTTTATCGCAACATGAAAATAATTTTTAACAGATAGATTTCTAAGACTTGCACAATTACGCGCTCTGCGTGAAATGCGCGAAATCGCGTTGTGAATATGGCACGATGTCATAGCTATAGGGTATTGACAAGTACAACCCCAACAGCGAAACACGTATATCGTTTAATTATATACATATTTGTTTCTCAATTTCGAAGCTGTTAAGCTCTCTCAGGGTTTATAATGACTCACTGTTGGCAATAATGTAATTCTCGCTTCTCCATGTGGTTATCGAAGTGGCGATGAGAGCATTCTAGTTCTATGTTTGTATCAAATGCGCAGATTTGTACATAATGTATCGAATAATTATTTTATTTGAGTTTTACAAATTCCCTGCCTAGAAAAGATTTGCTTCTCAACAAGAATTGTAACCATTTCTTGATGCGAGAAAAACAATATCAAACTGATTTACATAAACGAATAATAAATAGATTTTTTTTATACTTATGTTTTCTCAGAAGAAATTTTCAAGCGGTTATGCCGAAGGCAATTTTTACTGCTGTGAATTCATGCGATTTACACGAGATTTACTGTTCATGTGACCAATGAGAAAGCGCTTTAATAATAAGCAAATGTGTTATGTAACACCATGCTTACTCGGCGTACATTCCTATCTTTTAGCGTGTCATTCTTCGTTGACATGCGGTTCAATTGCGAAACCAGGGCCAAACGAAATGATTTCATAGTTGATATGAAAATAATGAGATTGGTTGAAGTTCTCATCAATATCAACCATTAGACACAATGTCTTTCAGTCAGACAATTGAAATTCGATAGCAACAACATTGTACAATGCATACCAACTGTCTGTAGTTTTAATTTGGATGTCAATTCTAGATTATGTACACAGTTAGGAAAATATATATACCTATGTGGTTCGAACGTTTGACGAACGGGAAATAGCGTCAAAGTGTATTTAATTTATTTATTCAAAAACGTCAATGGATCTGACGTGTAGTACATTAGAAACATAAGTTGTTGGCAAAAAACATGCTAATAAAAACTGGAAGTTGTTGAAATGTTTAGGAAGTACATCATATGCTGTTTCTAAGAGTTATAGATTCCCGAAATTTTTGTTCTGAAATTATCGTATTTTTTGCGTATATCATGTTATCGTAGTTTACCAATGTATGTAGCGAAAGATTTCACATACATTCAAAAATCGTATTTCTTTACCCAAAAATACCTTTGTATAGTTTAAGATTAATTAATTAAGTTCACCTTTTGGCCGCAAAATTCACGGCGTGAATTAAGATATATTAAATTGTGATGGGCAGCACGTCGCGCATGTTATGTTAATTTACAGTAATTGTTGCAGTGAAATCTTTGAGACTATTATTAGAAATATCATCAATGAGATTTTTGGCCAAAAGATTCCAAATCGGCATTCCGATGTAAATCTTTTGACGTAAGAATCTGAAATTAACATATCACACGCATCTCGTTTCCTGTATATTTTGCGTGTGCGTAAAAATTCATGTCTTTTTGGCGTTAAACGATTCGGTTCTTTCCGTCCTGTTTGTGACTTAGCTGTTTTGCGTCAGTATTTCTGACTATCGTATTTCCTTTACTTATAGTTGCCATTTAATAAACCCCGGCCCCCACGCACCCCTCCTTCTAAACCAGAACCATCATCTGGGTTAGAAATTGAGGAAAAACGGAACACGTCATTCTTGGTTTTGAATTACTTCCTGTTTTTTCCTCTGCGTATTGGCGGTATTGCCGTTGACACATTCAGTGCTACCTGTACATATTCTCTAATTTTCGAGCATATTTTGTGCATGAGTCATGTATTTTGGGTACAATTTATACCTATTTCGTGCTAAGACAAACAGCTAGTGTGTTTAAGTAAACATGTTATCAAAATAATTCTACTCTAGTTAGGTGAGAAAATTGTTAAAGCTCTCAGACTATCGCGAGCCTTCGACCTCTAATGACCTATAGCGATTTTAATAAAAATAATAATTTTAATAACAATTATATTTTGTTGTAATGTTTACCGTCCCCAACACACTAAACCCAGACTTTGTCTTTGACGTCGCTATATTTGTTATTCCATGCAGCGGGGTGATTTTTGTTTCATGTATAAGTCAGGTCAAGGGTTTGCCTTCCTTTTTTGGCCGCTAGCAAACATATGCCAGTAGGTTTCACTGTTACTAGCAAAACGTGCAAAGTCCCTGATAAAATTTATCAATATTTGCGCATCTATTGCGGTGCGCAAATGCATTAGACATTATGAAACCACTGACGGTAATAGACAGCTTATACACAGTTCTAATCACATTTCTGAAACTTTTAATTGCTCTATTTTATATTTACCCGAATAAAGTCCATATTTGTTACTAACAAAGGCTAAAATTTTACTCCCATTTTGCGAATTTGCGGGCATTATAAAGTTCGAGGATTGTGTCAACTAGCATTTCGTGTGTTTGTCGTCCTATTGTCTTAGTCACTTTATAGTTCTTACTGTGTGGTATGGCCTGTTGTCGAATTTTTCAATCATACATTTTTTATGTTTTATCGGTGTAATACGGAGTGTTATAGGCTGATAAAAAATAATCTCGGGATTTGTAATCTTGGTATTTGTGTTCGGGACAGAATTTTCAAGTTCATCGTGGTTTCCTGCTGTAAATAAATCTTAATCCCTCTCTGGGAAACTTTCCTATGGGCTATCGCTATGGCCTCAACAGACTTTTCGGTAAAAGCATCCAAAAAGGCAAAAGTCACTTTTTTACATTGAATTCAGGCCCGTTCGTTTGCATACTTTTCTGTGTATTAAATCACATATTATAGTCTTTCTGATGTATTCTACAGCACGTGATTCTGGTGACCCACTTTTTCGATTACCGCGTGAAGATTTCAGAAAATTTTTCAAGTACATCATTCAACGTGTGATCTTTCGCGTTTCGGCTTGAAAATTGTGCGAACGGAATGCAGGTGTAATCATGTAAAAAAAGTTCATCAATCGCGTGTGCGTGTGTTCACTGAAGTTAGACCTTGAACAACCATTTATTTCACGTGGAGTTAATTGAGCAAATACGTAGTGTGGTTTATTTATCACCTCCAGAAATCTAGCCATTGTCGTTATTCAAAACAATATAAATGTCTCGACCGGATATCTCCTTTTCATTTCGGTTAATGCTTGGGTTGCATTTCTGATCATTTGAAATGAAAATGTGTCCTGAAAATCTAAAATGTCTAAATTTCAACATCTTAATTAATTAGAGAATTAATAATTTAATGTATAATTTGCATGGTTGATTAACCCTCGTTCATTATAATTAGTGACACAGTAGTTATTCTAATTACCAATCATATTCTAACCGACCGGATTTCTGTTCCTAATTTTCTTCGTTCTTTAAGACGCGCTTCTGGTCATTAAAAATTTTGTGGGTAGTTTGCGTTCAATGTGGTCTAATTGCAACGTCTTGTTGTTTTTCCTGATGTTTAAAGGATTATGGAATTAATTGGGTAAACAGGAAAATCATCTTATTTAAAGACCACGAAATGATTGTATAATCACTATAGTATGTTGAACTGTCACGCAAATTATTCAGTAAACTAGATTCAATGTTTCAGCCTAAACTATCGTCTGCTTTTTCGTCCGACATATAGTATGTCGAACTGTCATGCAAATTCTTCTGTAAACTAGATTCAATGTTTCGACCTAAACTATATCGTCTTCTTTTTTTTATAATTAGTTAAAAATTTCAAATCGTGTAATCAGCGCCCTGTTAAATGGGGGTGGGGAGGGAGGGAATGAAACATCCCGATTTTACCGACTAAATGGGCGTGGCCCTTGACAAATATAGGTGTGGCGTATTCTAGACAGTTGCGGTGGTATTTTTGTGTGAGATACAACTATACTTGAAAAATATAAACAAAACTTCGAAGGTTACTAACTTCCCGACAAGGGGAATGAAACAAGGTTCTAGAGTAGGCCCCTATACTACGTAGAACTTTTAAAGTGTGAGTTGCGGTTACACACACATACCAGCGCGGATAAAAAGCATGAGCTCCTGGCGGAGGTAATAACTGCCATATATCGTGGGCAAAAAATTAGCTCCTAATTTATTCCCTCTCTCTGATTTTTCAGGCGTTGTGGGTAACGGTTTGGTATGTGTCCTGGTTTATCAGAATCGTAAAATGCGCACAGCAATGAACTATTTTCTCGTCAATTTGGCAATATGTGATGGTATTATCTGTCTATTTAACATTCCTACCACGCTTGTATACAACGAATACACTCAGGTGTGGCCATTTGGTCTCGCCTTCTGCAAGATATTACCAGGTGAGTTTTTAATGTTTTTGGCAATGATAACTTCCAGTTACGTCATTTGTTTTAGCAAAATGTGTTTAGTAATAAAGGTTCAAGCAAACGTTGATAAGAGAAACCTCGTTTACATCTTAGACAAGTAGTAAAAAAGATTGCATTCTTGAAATATTTTGACTGAAGACAGTGAGCTGTTCGCCATCTTGGTTTATTCAGGATATACATGTTACGTCACAAGTGGGGTGATGCCAATTTTTATTTTTACAGGCAGTGATCAATATGAATAAAAAAAAACTCGAAACAGCACTTTCTGTGTTTTCTGAGAGGGATTTTTATCAAAATTGTTTAAAAAATGAAGATTTGTAATGATCTGTAATGCACTTTATAACTTTTTACAACTTCATCCCTCCCCCTGTTTTTAAGCAACGTTTGTTGAACAATGTTGATACATCGTTTTCAAACGTTCTTTCAAATGAGACAAACTAAATGTTTGATAATTTATTTATCTAGCGATGCAACAAGTGGTACTGGCTGCAGCACCGCTGTCCTTGGTTGCCGTATCGTGGGAGCGTTTCAAATGGATAGTGTTGACATTTAATGAGAAGATGTCTTTAAATCAAGCAAAATTAATTCTCGTCATTATTTGGCTCATTGGCTTACTCAATGGCTTACCTATTTTGGGCGCAATGCAAATGAAGAACTTAGAACTGTTCAATTGCATCGAAATCTTCCCGAAACATGTGTATCGACAATTATACACCATGCTTAATTTCATATTGTTCTATCTTGTTCCCGTGTTGTTTATCACACCGCTCTATATTCAGATGATAATGCGACTGAGGCAAAGAACAGACACGACCGGACAATTATCTGACGTGGATTTAAGTAGGAGGAAAGCAGCTTTAAAAATGTTGCTTATTGTTGTTATAACGTACGCGGTTTGTGTTTTACCTAATCATACCATTTTCATCTTATGGGATTTTCATCAGGGTAAGTATTTTTATCTAATTATTAATCAGCATTTATATCAGTCTTGTTTTTTTCTTCATATAGGGGGCTCAATGGCTAGACATTTATACATTCATATATATAGGAATAACTACAACCTTCTCTGCAATGTCTACCACCCCACATCTTGTAATGTTTTCAATTCATAATGTCTTTGACTGCCTTTCCTTCATCGCTTCCTATTACGTGTCCAAAATACCATCTCAACCTTGCTTCATTTACCTTCTCTGCAGTGTCTATATACCTCCTCACATTATCTGATCTCTTTATTTCATAATATCTGTGACCGTCTCTCTTTCATCTATTTCTATTACGTGTCCATAATACCATCTCAGCCTTGCTTCCGTCACCTTATCTACAATGTCTACCTCCCCACATTTTCTGATCTCTTTATTCCATAATATCTGTGACAGACTCTCCTTCATTTATTTCTATTCACCTTTTCTGCAATGCGTCGTCTCGTCATTTAAGCTTTTCAGCAAACCTTTCCCCGTCAATATACGGTACTTCATGGCTTGAACATCGGGATGCAAAATGTTAAATGTTCGTTTTGCCTTTTCAACCGGATTGGGTTTCCTTACTAAACCCCAAGTTATTTAGTGTTAATTAAGTTAGTTTACTTTAGGTTTATGCTTGCCTGTACTAAATACCTGACCAATAAGGTATCGGATATGACTCTTACTTTTATTCTGATTTTCTTTTAGTTCCGTCTGACTCAACGAGTTTTATTGTATTAAACTACATGACTTTGCTATTGTGGGCCAACTCGATGATAAATCCGATAATCTATTGCGTCCAGAGCGGAGACTATGCCCGAGGCTTTGTCAGAATACTGTGCTGTGGGCCAATCAGAAACAAGATGATGACGCATGTTCGGCGGTCACATGGTCAATCCTTTATATCAACACCCGATCAAACAAAGATGCGGTGGTATGAACGAGTACATCAGGGCCAGAGCAGCAGCAACAGCAGTTAGGAATGGTATATCAAGGATTATATATTGTATGCATGTTCCAAGAACATTGATCCACCCATGAAATAGTTAAGGATTGGCAAGACTTGCTCAGTAAATGTATAAACTCGCTTCGCATTCACAAGTATTGATGACAAAGATTGCTGTGTGAACTGTAATTTGATGTTCTGAGACTGAAACAGTTATAAACAGCAATGATTTGATATGTTGACGCATTTCAAGTTCCAAGTGGGTTCGTCAACCCAAGAAATGGACGAGGGATGCAGAGGCATCCAATTCAAGACTGCAGTGAAGACCTTGCACTCAGGGCATTTGTATGTGGGCGTGTGGGGAGGGGAAGACCCACCCTCGATGTCATGAATTTTGTCCACCGCCTCTGTAGCGAATCTTATGAGGAAGGATTATTACTGCTGACTTCACCATCAGTTTACCATTCTGCGATCGAAGAATCGTGTTTGGCGAAATATATATATATATAACATATTCTCAGAATTTCTTAAAGAACAAAACATATTGAATCTGAAAGGGAACAGATGTATGTAAAAAGTTATCAGAAATATAGAAACTAAAGACATATTAAGTTAAATTACTGGGTAAATATTAAAATAGAGTGTAGTTGTGTATACCTTCATGCCGCCTTTTATTCGATCTCCACAAGAGTGTGTACTCTTTGCCTTGTACTATATAAGTGAATATCTTAAATTATATTATTTAGTGTACTTTAGTATTATTATTTTGTATTTAGTTCAAAAATCAATTTTCATTTTATTTCTATTGATGCATAATTAATCGCCACAAGCATAAACAGATATGTAGAGAACTAACTTTCTCCAACCCTGCAAGAGCCACAAATAATGCCAGACCCAGATATACCCGTTAATTTTTATTTCGAAACGTGAAAACTATTTGCCAGGATTGTAAGAACTGTGAGGGGCACACTAATTAAAGAATTGCTTGAATCAGAAATAAATGCTGGAACTTTCCATGTTATCATGTAACACCCTCCATGCCTTGTCACCACACGTGTTGTATTCACCTCTCCCCCCTTCCCACCCCCTTTGAGAGCCTTCCCCCCTTGATAGCCCCCGCCCCCGTTTGTAATCGTTTCAGTAACCGACACCGCTGACTACCTATTGATAATTACATACATAAAAATGCACACAAGTTGTTACAGGTCTGCAAACAAGTTGTTATAAATCTGTTCACAAGCTGTCAAGCGCGAAGCATGTTGTGTTCGCACTGCTTGTTCCTAGTTGTTGTAACAAGTTTGGAACAAGCTGTTAACATGTAACTTGTAACAAGCTTGATGGCATTATCAGACTTGTTACAAGGTTGTCCTAACAAGTCTGTTGCAGTCACGATATAACAAGAATGTCACAAGGTTGGCGACACAAGGTTGTAACAATACTGCTATATCATGACTGGATCGGACTTGTTGGAACAACCTTGCAACAAGTCTGATAATGTCAACAAGGTTGTTGCAAGTTGTTGACAGCTTGTTCCAAACTTGTTGACAGCTTGTGATAAGCAATGCGACGGCTTGTTGGGATCGGAGACGTACTACACATGTAAAAACGCACAAGTTGTAACAAACCTGCAGCAGACTTGTAGCAATGCTGTTGCAACAATTTGTCATCAGGATGTGTTCGCACTGCTTGTTCCCAGCCTTTGTTTGTTTAAATACTTTATTGGGTAAATATAATAATTATTTACAAAAGACGTACTAATACTATGCATGCGAAGAACGAATATTACCCAAATGGAAGAGGTGCGAACGGAACGTAAATAATTTGCGCTATCCATGCAAGGCACCTTTCCAACAGAATACATGTAAATATAGTTTACTATGTAAATACTAATAACAAGTTTATACAATAAGACAATTAACTCTTATGACAGGAACAGTCACGTGACATAGACCAAGTACATAACAAGTTTACATCGAATACGGTCGATACTAACATAGAATAATAATTAAAGAGGTAGTATTTAAATGTTTAATTTAGCCTGTTGACAAGTTGTCAACGGCTTGTTAGAACAACTTGCTACAAGTTTGTTGGGCTCAACAGACTTGTTACAAGTTGTTCTAACAACTTGTTATCGTCCTGCAATTCAACAATTTGTCAACAAGTTGTGAGTGACAACCTTGTAGCAACTTGATAAAATAACCGCATTGTTACAACTTGTTGACAAGCTTGCTACAAGCCCTTTGCAAACACATCTTGTTGACAAGTTGTGAAATTTTTACGTGTGTACAAGATGTGAACTTTTTACGCGTGTACATGAAGAAATTATACAGAAGCAGATTCAAGGTGACTTGCCACTCCTATTAGCCTTTTGGCGTTTGTCGCAAATATCCTAAGACAATAAATGACGATATGCCGTGGAGAATAGTGGAATTTTTAAAGTGGTAGAACCATAGGTAGTTAACAAATGAAACCTATCTAAAATTCGTGATGCCACGATTTGAATTTCCCTATATTTTCTGCATTGAAGTAGCTTTATTGAGATTCAAAATGGTTTCATTGCCATTGGTTTTTAAACATGCCCGTGCTACGGCAAAGTATTCGAGGTAAGTGTTATTCGCTTTGTTTTAATTATTTTATTTTTGTAGACAAGAAATTAGCGGCACAAAAATAACCGTTGGTTTTAATAATTGAAATTTATAACGCGTATATTGCACCGTCAACAATATTCAGATATTCCAGGTAATTGTCAATTTCTCCCCTGGGAATTAGGCAGTGCATATTTTCAGCGAATCACGTGTGTTAATGAAATAAGTAAGTAAAGTGTCAATTAAGTCATTGGAATTCAATGAATTTGCATACAAGCCCGTCTCATCCAATAGAAATGGCCATTTTTCATCATGTGACCTTTTCGACCATGGTACGAAATTCAAGTTTCTAGCACGCGGCAACCATTCGATTTTGGGGCGTCGAGTTAAGCGGAGTAAAGTCGCTTTCTTGCTCGAATTTTAAGGCAAAATTAAAGAAGAAATGTTGAATTCTCTACTCCAAGTGAAACTGAAAGGTATGTAGCTTTCTATTCAATGTAAAATGTTTGTATTTTGACGAGGAAAAGTGTTTGAAACTACTTGTTGAATTTGACGAACGCAAGTCGCTTTGGCGTGAAGCCGCCATAAGACTTCTTGGCTGCCTAAAGACACAAAATTTAGCCTTGCTTTTCGTTCCCTTTCGTCTAAGCAGGTATTGAAATGTGTTGATGAAGTATTCAGGGTGTTTTGTAGCTAAATTTGTTGTAAATTTTATCGTTTTAGTGAGAATTCTCAACCTCGTGCAACGAGCCGTGTCGAGTGAAGACTGAAGTCGCTTCTCGCCGGCTGAATTCTAAAGCGAAATTAAACGAGAAACGTTGAAGTCTCGTCCTCTAGCAAAACTAAAAGACTTAACTGAGGTATGCCGCTTTCTTCGTTTTTTAGAATGTTCATATTCGGGCGAGTAAAAGTGTTCAAAATTTATACAGCAAGTCGGTTCGCCGGCGTAATCTCGTTCGACTACATGAAGACACTGATTTAGCTTTGCATTTCGTTCTATTCAGTTTTATAAAATTGGTATTATGGTTTGATAACTACTCAAAGTGTTTTAGAGCTAAATTTGTTTTAATATTTGTCGTTTTAGTGAAAAGATATGTTGACCACGTACAAAGTCAAAGAACCTCGTGCAACGAGCCGTGCCAAGTGAAGTCGCTTTCTTGCTGAAGTTGCTGGCTGAACTTTAAAGCGAAATTAAACAAGAAACGCCGAAGTCTCGATCGTCTTAAGACTTAACTGAGGTATGCACTTTCTTTGTTTTTCAGAATGTTCATATTCGGGCGAATAAAAGTGTTTAACATTGATACGACTACATGAAGACACTGAATCAGTTAGCTTTGCGTTTCGTTCTATTCAGTTTAAATTGGTATTAAGATGGTTTGATAATTACTCAGAGTGTTTTAGAGCTAAATTTGTTTTAATATTTGTCGTTTTAGTGAAAAGAAATGTTGAACACGTGCACAGAACCTCGTCCAAAGGGTTGACCACGTGCCACTAGAACCTCGTGCAAAGAGTCGAGTCAAGTCAAGTCACTCAACTTCGAATTTAAAAGCGAACTTGAACGAGGAATGTTCACGTCTCAACCTCAAGCGCAACGCAAGACTGGATTTTGATGTATGTTGCTTCAATTCTATGTAAAATGTTCACATTTCATTGCCGTAAAAGTATTTGAATTTACTTGAATAAATTGACGAACGCGTGTTGATTCGCTGACATACTGTCGCATTCGACTTCTGGGCGGGTCCCGGCATAAAAATTAAAGACCTAAGGGGTTATAAGTTTACGTTTGGTGATATAAGATTATTGTTGCATGCACGTGCGCGAAATTACTGCAATAAAATTCAAGTCTCGTACCCCGCGATGCGTTTTCTATTGTCTTTAATATCTTTCTTTCTAATTTAATTCTAGGTTGAATTGATGAAGATGACAATGTGCGTCGCTGAAAAACCCATTATACCCCACACTGCGGTAGGGCAGTAAAGCTTTTTTTGAACCAATTTTTATTTTGATTGCCCGTACTTTTTGTTTTATTTTCATGCATATATCATGATGACGCCCAACTAGTCCACTGCTTGCCTTCTGAACATTCTTAGACTCTGTTTGCATGGTACCATTTTACCACCGAGAATTATGTTGAGATTTATATGGCAAAGTAGAAGCCTAACTATATGGTTTATGGCTTTTGAGTTTGTATTTATAAATGTATTACGCTTCATTGAAAATGTAGGAAGCAATCTGATAGAATGTGAGCCCAACTATATGTTCATGGCTCCCGAGTATACCTGCATATATTATTATGCTTCATTAAAAGTTGTAGGAAACTACTATGTATGGAGTTCAGATCCCAATGCTTTCTATATGCATAAAAGTAGGTACGCACTGCGTACATAGGAAGCAATTATAGAATGCGAGTCCAACGATATGTTAATGACTCTCGAGTTTATACCTGTATATATTATTACGATTCATTAAAAGTTGTAGGAAATTGTTATATATGGAGTTCATAGCCCGCGCTTCTATATGCATAAAAATAGGTACGCACTACGTACATATGGCTACCCTGCGGGAAATATTGGCAGGGCTCGAGTAGCCACAATGTCATTCATTATTATGAAGAATAATTTTAAATATATAAAGACATACTGTACATGCACGGGGCGCATTGCAATTTTATTATTTTTCCAAGGTCTCTGTGAGACGTCCAATCATTCAGCATGAACAAGCAGTACATGTAAAAAGAAGGCGCCACTTTTTGGGTGTACTGTTTGTCCGCGTTGGGTGGCTGGAAGTGTTGCAGGTATCTTGGGATATCTAATAAAGTTAGTGCAATGTTATTTTCAGTGCTGCTTCTATAAAGGGCAGCTTGCTATGGCTATATGCCTTAGCCCAAAAAATATTCAGTTTTTTCCCCATTGAAATATTTTCAATGCTGTTTCTATAAAGGACAGTTTGCTATTGCTATATGCCTTATCCCACTGTGTAGTTTTTCCAAAGATGTCATTTCTATATGGTTGACATCTGGGCACTATTCTTTCAGTGCTGGTTCTATAAAGGGCAGCTTGCTATTACTATATGTTTTAGCTAAAAAATAAACTGTGCAGATTATTAAGATGTCATTTCTTCATGGTTGACATCAAGGTATTATATTCCAATGTTTTTCAGTGCTGTTTCTATAAGGGCAGCCTGCTATTACTATATGTTTTAGCTAAAAAATAAACTGTGCAGGTTATTAAGATGTGATTTCTATATGGTTGACATCTAGGTACTATATTTCAATTTTTTCAGTGCTGGTTCTATAAAGGGCAGCTTGCTATTACTACATGTTTTAGCTAAACGATAAACTGTGCAAGTATTAAGATGTCACTGATTTCTATATGGTTGACATCTAGGTACTATATTGCAATGTTTCTCAGTGCTGTTTCTATAAAGGGCAGCCTGCTATTACTATATGTTTTAGCAAAAAATAAACTGTGCAGGTTATTAAGATGTCATTTCTATATGGTTGACATCTTAGGTACTAAATTTCACTGTTTTTCAGTGCTGTTTCTATAAAGGGCAGCCTGCTATCACTATATGTTTTAGCAAAAAATAAACTGTGCAGGTTATTAAGATGTCATTTCTATATGGTTGATATCTTAGGTACTATATTTCAATGTTTTTCAGTGCTGTTTCTAATGGGCAGCCTGCTATTACTATATGTTTTAGCTAAAAAATAAACTGCAAGTTATTAAGATGTCATTTCTATATGGTTGACATCTTGGTACTAAATTTCAATGTTTTTCAGTGCTGTTTCTATAAAGGGCAGCCTGCTATTACTATATGTTTTAGCTAAAAAATATACTGTGCTGGTTAAGATGTCATTTCTATATGGTTGACATCTTGGTACTAAATTCCAATGTTTTTCAGTGCTGTTTCTATAAAGGGCAGCCTGCTATTCCTATATGTTTTAGCTTAAAAATATACTGTGCAGGTTATTAAGATGTCATTTCTATATGGTTGACATCTTGGTACTAAATTTCAATGTTTTTCAATGCTGTTTCTATAAAGGGCAGCCTGCTATTACTATATGTTTTAGCTAAAAAATAAACTGCAAGTTATTAAGATGTCATTTCTATATGGTTGACATCTTGGTACTAAATTTCAATGTTTTTCAGTGCTGTTTCTATAAAGGGCAGCCTGCTATTACTATATGTTTTAGCTAAAAAATATACTGTGCTGGTTAAGATGTCATTTCTATATGGTTGACATCTTGGTACTAAATTCCAATGTTTTTCAGTGCTGTTTCTATAAAGGGCAGCCTGCTATTCCTATATGTTTTAGCTTAAAAATATACTGTGCAGGTTATTAAGATGTCATTTCTATATGGTTGACATCTTGGTACTAAATTTCAATGTTTTTCAATGCTGTTTCTATAAAGGGCAGCCTGCTATTACTATATGTTTTAGCTAAAAAATATACTGTGCTTGTTATTAAGATGTCATTTCTATATGGTTGACATCTTGGTACTAAATTCCAATGTTTTTCTGTGCTGTTTCTATAAAGGGCAGCCTGCTATTCCTATATGTTTTAGCTTAAAAATATACTGTGCAGGTTATTAAGATGTCATTTCTATATGGTTGACATCTTGGTACTAAATTTCAATGTTTTTCAGTGCTGTTTCTATAAAGGGCAGCTTGCTATTACTATATGTTTTAGCTAAAAAATAAACTGTGCAGATTATTAAGATGTCATTTCTTCATGGTTGACATCAAGGTATTATATTCCAATGTTTTTCAGTGCTGTTTCTATAAGGGCAGCCTGCTATTACTATATGTTTTAGCTAAAAAATAAACTGTGCTGGTTATTAAGATGTCATTTCTATATGGTTGACATCTTAGGTACTATATTTCAATGTTTTTCAGTGTTGTTTCTATATGGGCAGCCTGCTATTACTATATGTTTTAGCTAAAAAATAAACTGCAAGTTATTAAGATGTCATTTCTATATGGTTGATATCTTAGGTACTATATTTCAATGTTTTTCAGTGCTGTTTCTAATGGGCAGCCTGCTATTACTATATGTTTTAGCTAAAAAATAAACTGTGCAGGTTATTAAGATGTCATTTCTATATGGTTGACATCTTGGTACTAAATTTCAATGTTTTTCAGTGCTGTTTCTATAAAGGGCAGCTTGCTATTACTATATGTTTTAGCTAAAAAATAAACTGTGCAGATTATTAAGATGTCATTTCTTCATGGTTGACATCAAGGTATTATATTCCAATGTTTTTCAGTGCTGTTTCTATAAGGGCAGCCTGCTATTACTATATGTTTTAGCTAAAAAATAAACTGTGCTGGTTATTAAGATGTCATTTCTATATGGTTGACATCTTAGGTACTATATTTCAATGTTTTTCAGTGTTGTTTCTATATGGGCAGCCTGCTATTACTATATGTTTTAGCTAAAAAATAAACTGCAAGTTATTAAGATGTCATTTCTATATGGTTGACATCTTAGGTACTATATTTCAATGTTTTTCAGTGTTGTTTCTATATGGGCAGCCTGCTATTACTATATGTTTTAGCTAAAAAATAAACTGCAGGTTATTAAGATGTCATTTCTATATGGTTGACATCTTAGGTACTAAATTTCAATGTTATTCAGTACTGTTTCTATAAAAAGCAGCCTGCTATTACTATATGTTTTAGCTAAAAAATAAACTGTGCAGGTTATTAAGATGTCATTTCTATATGGTTGACATCTAGGTACTATATTTCAATGTTTTTCAGTGCTGTTTCTATAAAGAGCAGCTTGCTATTACTATATGTTTTAGCTAAAAAAATAAACTGTGCAGATTATTAGGACGTCATTTCTATATGGGTGGCATATATGGGTTTTTCAGTGCTGTTTCTATAAAGGCAGCTTGCTATCACTATATGTTTTAGCTGAAAAAATTAACTGTGCAGGTCATTGTTAAGATGCCATAGGATAGGCCCCTAGGATCTCTCCCAAAGCTTTTTCAGGACTTACAACAAAATTTCCCCACCTTACCACAACATGCATGGTGGATATCTTGGGCATATGTGCATTATGGTGGATATCTTGGGCAAATGTGCAATACCATAGTGGATATCTTGGGCAAATGTGCATTATTATTATGGTGGATATCTTGGGCAAATGTGCATTATTATTATGGTGGATATCTTGGGCAAATGTGCAATACCATGGTGGATATCTTGGGCAAATGTGCAATTACATAGTGGATATCTTGGGCAAATGTGCAATACCGCAGTGGATATCTTGGGCAAATGTGCAATACCATCAATGGATATTACCTATATTAAATGGATATTATACCTTGCATATGGAGTTGTAGGGCAATCATGCGGCGGAGCATTGATTGCTGACTACTGAAGAAAGAAGACGACGTAAGGTTTGTGGTAAATTGGGGGGGAAGGGCCCTGCGGAAATTCGGAAATGCGGACTTCCGGCCCTAAACATTCAGTGCGCTTTAGCGGTAACAATATGGCGGCAACAACATCGCGAATTAATCCGGCAGTGTTATAGCGGATAAGGATATATATGAACGTAAAAATATACAATTATATAGGTCATACATATTAAGTTTCTTGCATTTCACTTTCAAAACATAGAATTTCATATTTGTAAAGTTTTGAAATTATTGACATTATAATTTCAAGGCACAAGCATTAATAAAACGTATTTTAACATATATACTTAAACTATAGATAAGTTGATAAGATTTTATTTTTTTGTTTCATGATTTTTTTGTATTATGATTTTTGTAAATGGGGGCCCCAAATATAGGGTAATATAATATATAATCAATGTATTAAATATATATATACATAGGTAAGGTTTGTGGTAAAATGGGGGGAGGGCCCTGCGGTTGAGAGCGAAATTATTCGGAAATGGGGGTTCCCTCAAAAATTCGGTTAAGTGCGAAACAAAATAAATATATAAATATATATAATTACTTGTATAAATTCATTTTGTTTTCTTAAAAATATAGTCACTATATTTTAAGTCAACAAAATTAATTAAATATGCATTTTTGTAATATATATATATTAAAGTTATGTAGTTCATTGGTCTTGTAAAATATAGCTATGGCATGGGTAAGATTGTTTAATAACTTTTGTAATACATACAAAAAAACGTTTGAAATTTTTGTAATATTGTTGTGTGTTGCTAGAACTACTTCTTTGTAAACATAATTTAATCGTATACCTTTGTCAATATATCTAACGAAATTTGAATTTTTGTAATATATATATATATATATGTCTGCATTTTTGTATTTCTTCCTATTGTATTTTTGATCAAGCTGTAATGAATGTTGTTGTAAACTGTATCAGTTAACAAGTGTAACATGAAATTGTTGTTGAATAAATATTTTAAACCTGAAGTCCTTGTTCTTGTCCTATATAATAAGATTATTAACTTCGTAGTAGATACTTGTACATACATAAAACTATATATATTTTTGTAACATTGTGTGTTGCTGTAACGATTAACGACTTGTTTGTAATATAATTTAATCGTCTACTTTTGTATACTGTAATATATCTGAAAAAACGAAACTTCAATTTTTGTAATATAATGTATAATTATAATGTTGTAAAACTTGTATTGAACAAATGTAATATGAAATTTTTTTGAATAAAAATTTGAAAACTCCCGTGTTTACGTATTTCATATAGATGGTAATATTCTCGAAACTAGTACATACATAAAAGTACATATATATTTTTGTAACATTGACATTGTGTGTTGCTACTTGCTATATAAACAATTAACGACTGTTTGCAATATAATTTATTCGTCTACTTTTATATAATATATCTAACAAACGAAACTTCAATTTTTGTAGGCCTAATATATATGTATTAATAATGAATGTTGTAAAATAATATTGAACAAATGTAACAATTTTTTTTAATAAATATTTAACTCCCATGACCATTTTTACGTATTTTATGAGAGTGTAGTTTCTCAAAACTAGTACATACATAAAACTATATATATTTTTGTAACATTGTGTGCTGCTATGAGTATAACGATTAACGACTTGTTAGTGTAATATAATTTGATCGTCTACTTTTGTTAATAATCAAACGAACGAAACTTCAATTTTTGTAATATATGTTTAATGATTGTTGTATCAAAAACTATATATTGAACAAATGTAACATGAAATTTTTCTTATTAAAAATTTTAAAACTCCTGTGTTTACGTATTTTATGTAGACGTAATACTCTCCGTTCCTTCGCCATGATTTGCAACATGGTCAAGCCTCGACCTTGTTGCAAGTCATGGTTTCGGGCATTATCGAACGTTTCAACTCTTACTTATATAAGAATTTTCAACTTTTGAAAAATATTTCGAAAACAAAAAGGGTGTAGCCACAGTGACGTATACCTGTGGACCCTAATTTGATTTTAACCAAAATTCTCAGATTTTAAAATTTATTAATTTTTTCCGGTAATTGTTTTTTCGTTCAAATAACTACAAATTTTGAAAACAACAAAAAAAAACAGTGTCCGTGCTCACGGGACGGAATCCGTACTGTTGGTTGAAAAAAACCCTTAGGGACCGGTCAATATTTATGGCGGGGGGTGGCACCGAAGAGAAAAGGGTTGGGTAAACAAAATTTTGAGTGAGTAAAAGGTTGGGTAAATGAAAAACAAAACAACTCAGGGGTTGGGTAATAAAAAATTATTGTCATTTCCAAAGCATGATTCACTGAAATATTGGAGACTAAAAAGCAATGTCAACAGTAGTCAGTCATATGTCAATACAATACCGTATGTGAATCAATCACAGTGACTATGTCTTGATCATTTTCCGATTTGTTGGGAGACAAATGGTACCTCCAAAGAAAGTACCTGGTCAGACAACATGAAACTTTAAACTGCAGAAAATTTTACAATCCGTCATCAAACTCATGTGACAGAACGTAAAGTTTTTGGCCAGGGGTGGGTATTTATTTTTAAATTGATATTTGAGGTTGGGTAATCAAATTTTTGACTTTTTAATGGTTGGGTCAGCAAACTTTTTGCCACGAAAAACATTTCTCTTCGGTGCCACCCCCCACCATAAATAATGACCGGTCCATTATTTGATAAGTGTTTTTTGTGACACAGCCTGCATGGTGCTTGCGGTGGTTATAGTCTGTGTTTATCTCCACCGTGCAATTGAGAAACTGTCCAGAACTTATACTGTTTCCAGTAAAAGTGCAAGCCATAAGGCAAGATTTTAATGCTTAATTCTACCACAATTATTAACCGAGGTTAGAAATGATCCATCAAAACTCGTGGAGTATAAGAAAAAACCTTCTGCAGTTTTGCAGTCGTGCAGATCATTTTCAAACGCAGTACTGATTCGTTTCTGGGTTGAATTCCCAGAACATTGCTATAAAGTTTTAAAGCTTTCCATGAAAGACGTACCGCTATTCATTTTGGGGGAAAACTGGACAAAACCATGTATTTTTGGCCACTTTTCAGGTTTTTGAAAAAGTGGCCAAATCTCTTTTGCATGATGATAAATAATTTTTGAATGGTGTATGGAATGGTACTGCAAATGATGAATGATGCATAATGTAATGATAATGATATGTACCACATAATCAACATGAATTAATATCATGGGTATTAATGTAATTATGCATAATTGTGTATAATTATGTAAAGCATATATAAGGTAAGATGATGGATAATTATGGGTAATGATGTACAATGATGTATATTACGAGTAATATATGTGTGTGGTACAAATTCTGATTTCTGAGCGATTTGTTGCAAATTTTATATATTTATAAATTGTTACATTGGTACATTACAAAATTTTTGCAAAATGAGTGGTCTTACAGTTGAAGAACGAAAAGCATTAGCAAAGAAATATTTAGAAACTTCAGTGGTAGATGTCCAAAAGGCGCGTGACAGAATACGACCACATGTGCATAAAACTGCGCTGTATCGATCTTTGTGGCTAAGTGACGAAAGCACCGAATCTAATGTATATTTGAAAATGGGTAAGGTTATTTACGTTTGTACTCGAAAGTAGAAGCATTAGTACTCGAAAGTAGAACCCCCCCAAAATAGAAGCATTTTCCAGGGGTTGCCTGGAACCAATAGTTCTGTGTATTTGACGATTTTAGACGCCCCCCCCCCCCCA